ACTGGAATGTGTTTAAAGTACTAATTTTACAGTCCATTAGTGCTATGATAACATTCTGGACATACAGGTTAGTGGACACCATTTTTTTCCCATTGTAGTAATATTCCCTAAAACAGCCGCAATTTATTCTTGCATTTGACTTTGAATTAAATGTCTTTCTACAATTATTCTGAATAGTTTATATTATTAACATCTATACTGCATTATATATTATTTTATAATGTATAATTGCACATACTTTAAAAATATGAGCCCTCATAGAAATCTGTTAATAGTATTGCATTAAAGTGGGGTAGAAAAAAACTTACAACTCTGTATTATTGATTTCAATATCTAAATTCTGTAACCTGGGGAAACCTTAGCCACACAGAAGTTAAGCAACTTGCTCAGGCAAGCTGGATAAAAGCTGGAACTAGAGACAGAGTGTAGACTCCGGATTCCAATCAGAGGCTTGTTAATAATTTTTTTTATATCAGTAAAAAAAAGTAACACAGTTATAATCTGAAATGATAAAGGAGACAAGAGGGAGCAATAAACTATTTCAAAACTTGCACATAACTTTAAATTTAGCAGCTTATTAAACTGGACCATTTTAGTAGGTAATAGGAAAAACAGACACATTAAAAAAACCAAGTTTTACGCTCAATATATACGCAACTATATTATAATGTAAATTAGATCTTCTGACTGCAAAATTTTTGACTATATAAATTGTGAGTCTGATTACCTCTTATATTTTTAACTTCCACATAAAGTAATATTTATGAATGGTGAGTTAAAGTGAGATGCTGGAAGCAGGATGAGTGACAGAGAGGACATAAGGGCATACAGGAGCCCAACTTCGACAGGTGTTGTACAACTCAGGAATTCTGGGAAAGAGCAGTAGATGGACTAAACCGATGCACCCGCATCAGGAAGAAGTAGCTGACTCCGGGCAGGTTATGAGGTGGAGACGCATTGTGACATACAGCGACAGGCCCTGCAAACTGTGGCTACAGCCATAAACCAAAGGACACTCTTCAAATGGATACAGTGCTGGAAGGACCATTTCTACCTATCACTGGCCATAGGCACACCCCCACTCATAGAGAGTGCACTGTCAGTACTGCCGTCTACTAATTAAAGGCTACAGATGACAGGTCTTCCATAACAATTGAAATTAATCAAAGTAGTTTGTTTCACTATGGGTTCAAAATGGCATGACTATCTCAACAATTTCACACCTAAAAAAATTCATATTTTGAGAACACCAGTGAATTCTAATAGGAAAACTTTTTTTTTTTTTTGAGTGTATGATAGGCTGTTTTTTACCTCAGTGCTTCTATGGAAATAACTATGCTTCATTAAGACTTCCATTTATTTTTAAACTATAGTATTTTTCCATTACACCGAGTTTACAGCTGAGTTTACTGACACAGCATTAGAGATAATATTTGGTTTTTGAATACAGAATAAAATTAGGAAGTTGATGAAAAGGTCAACATTAGGAAGTCAATACATTGCCTTGGAGAAAGAAAACAAGAAACTCTAGAAGCTTTTTAAAAAGAAGAGTTGTAAAACAATGCAAGTCCCTCAGGATGACTGTGAACATTGGAAGGAAAATGTGAATATAGCTAAATGCTGAAGGTTTTTAAGAAAAAGAAAATAAAAGGACTTTTAGATATAAAATACATTTATCTTGGGTCTCACTTTTTCATTAAGTTTTTCTGATATCTACTGAACTAAATAAGAGAAATGGCCTACATTATAGCATAAAAGATTCAAGTAAAGCATAAAGAAGAACGTTTGACTCTGAGTCGTTGAAAGCTCTTGAATAAGACTAGTTCACAAAGAGAAGATGGTGGAGTTCAGGCCAACTGTGGGCATTCAATAAATATTTGCTTAGTTGAATGAAGAAACTGAGATAGCCTAGATACAATTCAAGAGTAATGCATAGATCGGGGCCTCATGAAAACCAGAGGCTGTTCTGAATGGAAACTACCAAGCAGAGCTCAAGGAAAATGGGTCTTCTCCAAACCCTGGTTTTCTAGGTGCTCCAGGTTCCCCTGAATGTGATGGACCATTAATCTATGAAGACTTCTGCATTCCTCCTCCTTTGAGAACAGGTGGCTTTCTACCTTCTTCCTCCACAAGAGGCCAGAAAAAGGTACTCTGCTGTTGGTTCCCCTCACTTCTTCCTTTGGCCAGGTCACCACGGTGCGTTAATTTTTCCCCGTTTCTTTACGGTGGAGAGGATGCAGAAGCTGTCCCTGCCAGGTTGGTCCTCGGGGATGGGGCAGAATGTGCACTGCACTGGCACGAGAAGCATGTGAGATGGTATTCAAGGGATCACGTATCACCAGGAAACAAGGTGAGTCTAGGTGCTGGTTTAGGTGAGACAGCCAGCAGGAACGGGTGGCGCATGTGGCTGCAGGCAGGAGTGCGCTATGGGAACACGCCTTTAAGAGCATGTGGAAAAGTGTGGTGTTTCACCCTGATAACAGGGTTGTATACAGAAGGCATAGGGGTGGAAAGTATACGTGTGGAAGAAAGACACACAATTTTGTAAAGACGACATGGTTTTGTAGAGGGGATGGTTTTGGTCAGGTTCTATCACTGACGGTGTTTGTGGGTTCCTAGATGTTAGATAAATAGGTAAATTTGGCTTCTAAGGGAGCCGGACAATAAACACATTCCTAACCAAGCTACCCAGAGATATGGCAAACTCTGAAGTAAGAAGAAGAAAGCACAGTCATTCAAATGTAGAAATCTACTAGGGTCTTTTTGGAGGACTGTGCACTGATTAACGGAGAGATTCCTGCACAAGCATGTCACCAGCATAATAAATACGTGAAAAACATTTATGATGGTTCTATGTACCACCTCTCTTACAGTCAGAACAATGGCCTGGGGGATCCCTCAAAGTGTCTTCTAAAGGTTTCTGATATTCAATATTAAAAAGGTTAGCCACCAAAAGGCTGTATGGATCTTAAAGAGAAGACAAATGAGCCCTAATGTGTTCTATCTCTGCCTCTGTGACCATATCCACACTAGAAAATTTAAGCAGAAACTTAAACAATTTATTCATTGAGTTCAAGTAAACACCAAAGCATTTTGGGCTCAGTCATCAACTGAACATGTCTTTAGATCTCAATATTATGCTTAATTTCTCTGACATTTGGTGTGTACAGACTCAGCATAACCATCAAGACAAATACCTTCTCAGTTTGTGAAATCCCAGAGGCAAGAAGAAACCCATAATATCATTGTGATTTGAAGAGGAGACTGTTTTCTGAGAACTGCTGATACAACTTAATTTCACCAAAAACATATAATCTATAAGGTAGGACTGACAGGGACTCTGTTTATACACTGATGTTTACATAGATGAACAGCAGTCACCCTAAACCAATACTCAGTATAGTGAAGAGTCACATTCAGGAGAGAAAAACCACTTATGAAAACCCTGTTTGTGATCACCAAGGAATAAACATTTTCCTGGGAGGATGAAGTGCACATAGTAAAGTGCTGCTAGTCTCCTAATTTTATTCCATTATTTAAAGATTCAGTCTCTCCAGTGGATAATGCACAGGTTATTTCCTCTGTCTGATTCTTGTTCAAGGAAAGAGTGAAAAAAATCATATAAACATTTTGCTTGGCAGAAAGGGCTAATGAATCCAAAATACTCATAAAGATGACGCTTTCTGAATCATCGGGAAAGCTAAATGGCACATCTGCTTATTTGGTTAAAAAAAAGAATCTCTTTATCTAATATGACTGGCATCAATGAATCATAAAATTACTTCAGTTCAAATTTTAGCTCAGGGGCAAGAATGAGATGAACAGACCTACTAAATAAAACCCTCGACACAGCTACCCACCTTTCCATTGTGAACAATAATGACTGAGTACCTCTAGCAGAGTTAAGTCATTGCACTAGTCGTATAAATAGAGAACACTTGAACGGTGTCAACCAAAAGGAAAAAGTCAGCAGAGGTGGCTGGCAACTTGTGGTCTCCAGCCATTTTTATTTCCTAAATTGCCTATATGTTTCCTTGACCTGAAAATTTCCAGATTCTTTATTCTGTAACATGAATATAATTTTTCAAGACTGTATCTTACTAATACCACCTATAGAATTAAAGCCTATGTGATACTATTAGGTAAATAATCTTTCCAGATAGGGTTTAAGTAACTGATGGATCATTTCTCTGATTTTATTTTATACTTCTTTTCCTTTAATACTTCTGTTTTAAATATCCCTATTGCTACCATCTTTTTTTGGAATGGCTTCTATACAAGTGGCCTGTAGAAACTGTAGTTATCGAATTACTGAATTACAAAAATGAGAATACAAAACTGCAAAGGCAATTGAAGCAAAATTAACACTTCTAAAACAGCAAGAGACCAGAAAGAAGTAAGTTAATTGCAAACATGTGTTTAGTGTGTGTGTGCAGAGGCACTAAGGTGTCTGTAGAAACACTGGCAATGATTCGTGTGTAGCTAAAAGAACCAGGGCAACTGAACTGAATGGAGGGCAAGAATATAGCAGGAAAGTACATGAAAACCAGGATAAAAAGGCTGCCAAATGCAAAATTCCATTGACAGCCAATCGAGACCATTGAAAGTTTAAAAATAAAACACTTATTTTCATACTCCATTCTTGAATATAAATTGTTTTCTAGAAGGTTTCATGAATGAATGTAATACATTTTTGTAGTTCCTTTTGACTGATACATTTACAATTTGATGCTGTTTCTAAACTGTCACTACTAGTTTAAAATCACAATGTGCTTGAATATACCACATCTATAGTTTAAAAATAGAAAAGAACACAATGTGAAAGAAAATTGATGAAATCCATACATATAATCAAAATAATAATGTACTTATAAAAAGAAAATTATTTTTGTGTCTTAGGATAGGCCTAGTTCCGAAACTCATTAGTTATTTGAAACAGATATTTTTTTGATATATATGGAAATCTGAGTTATGATTTTCCATTTCTGGCTTAATCATACCTTTCACATCTTCATCCTCAATTGTTGTATTTGAACTCTCTGTTGACTCCTGTTGAGAAGAAAACACGTTTTAAGTTGCAAACAATGAATAGCTTAACTTTTTTTCTTCTTAAAGAATTGACGAGTGATGTACGTATCATGCAAAATTCTTCAGCAGGCTGTGTGCATATGCTGACATGCAAATGGACAAATACATTACGTGGTTGTAACAGAAATAAAATGCCAAACGCTGCAAACATTTAAAAAAAGGGAGAACTCTGGTTGCCTAATCTCTGAAGCAGGATAAATCTAGGTGATTTGGAGAAGCAGCGGAAGTATGCAACTTATTTTAAGAACTGTGTAAGATGTGTTTGTGTTACAGTGCCCCATAAGGTGTGCTTTTTCTATGTATTTATGAGAAATTTAATATATTAGCCTAATAACTTTGAACCTTAAAATAAACAATGTTTATTCCCAATTAATTAATGAGTAAAATAGGCCCTTCTTTGCATAAGGCACTATATCAAGCACTGAATTCGAAGCCCATTTGTCTGCCTTACTCCTCTGCAGAGAGAGAAAGCATTTCACTGCATCATTTGATGAAGAAGCCTCAGGGACTAAGCTGAGACATGTTAAAAGTGCTTTTAAGAAGGATTACCATGTTTGTAGTCAGCACAATGGAATTACAATGAATAATTTACTTTCAAGGACAATCAGAGTTTTTTCATTAATTTCTAAATTAGAAACTGGCTGTTGCTGATAAGAAACCTGCTCCCATAATGAAAAGACAAAGCTATTTCTTTCTAAAACTACAAACGCAGTTGAAGATTAATAAGCACACTTAAAAGGACACTGTCACTGCCAGTATTAAGACACATTCCTTAAAATGGTTTGATAAATTTTTCCATTAATAATGTACTAATAAAATATTTTCTAGCAAAGAAATTTAGTAATATTCATAAGAGAAACACAATTTTCTACTTGAAATGATTGAAGGGTAGAGCTGAAAAAAATCGGAAACAAACTTCTCATCAATAGCTCTGTGCTCAGTGACGAAAAACACAGTTTGGAAAATGATGCAAATGCAGTCAGTGTCCTTTTAGAGATTCAATATTCAAAAAGGCGATCAATTTATATAAACATCATATGTAATATCTGAACCAAAGGGACAGACTAATGAAAGATGTATCCAGAGTCTCCATACACACAAAACCAAAGCAGTCTTCATGCGTTTCTCAATGTGACCTAGTGTTCAATTTAAACTCAAGATGAAGGTAAACCCATGCACTGTAAAAAGAAACTAATCCACGTAAGCAAGGAATGTCATGCAGCAACGCTTACAAATGACACAGCTAGAACTAGCGAAGTGTCCACTCCAGCGGCTACGCTTGGTCTTTCATTTGCTAATGATATTGAAAAAAATTGTGCTCATACGTGATGCTCCTGACTACCTCAAGTCTTTTAGGGACTCAGAACATTTTAAGTATCATGACTAAAAAATACACCTCATATTGAAGAACACTACATGTTTTTTACTTTAATAATTTTAATATTGATCAATTAAATGTTAAGCCAGAGGAAATGTTTTCTAAGACTTAAACATTGTTGATAAACATAAGGAGAAGTAAGACCCATGACTATACTTAATATTTGAGACAAGTATGATAAAGTATTTTTTCCTCCCCTTAGAGATATGATAATGTATGAGAAGTAATATACTGGGAACAAGGTACACGTTCAGAAAATGTCTCCTTTCATCCTATAGACATGTATACAAGTACTATTGCTTAGTTAACATGCTGTGCAAACAATTTACAACGGATAGGAAACCTCACAGTCTTCTTTCAGCATAAGTAGTTAAATGTCTGTTACTGAAATGCATATAACTCAACAAAAACAAACATATTTCACAAGAAGTGAAACTCTCTGAGTCTCCTCAAATTCATGCCAAACAACATCAACAAGAAATTAAAAGAAAAAACACTATGACAACAGAATAAATAAAACTCAAAAGCAACATTCAATTTAACAAATACCTATGAACTCAAGTTTATATTTTTTGAAGACAGTGGAATGACACAGCAAGAAATTCTAAAATTACATGCAGAATACAACTACAGTACAATGCACAGACAGGCATGGAAAAAAAAAAAGACCAGATGGAATTGCTTAAGATACACAGTCATCTTGACATAAAGACTTCATTTAACCCGACTTTTATTGACTAATGGTATCATTCATTTCTCTTTCAAGATGTCATTCAGTTTTGTTTTGAAAGAAATATGTGTACAGTTCTAGATAAATTAGGCCCAAAAGAAAGTGTGGTAGAAAAAGGGTAAGGATTTTGTTTCCTATTTTTAGATAATGAATTAATTTTGTTTTGCAGATTTGATGAGATGTGTAATCTTGTTAAAGCATGATGATGTTGATTCTTTCTGAATACCTTGTTTCCATCAGGGTTGTGGATTACAGTAGTTTGGGGCTCCTGAGTGAGAACAAAATAGAGAAAGAAACAGTTCGCATTGGTAAGTACATTCTTACTACTGTGAGGGACAGAGCAGAGTGAGCCAGCTGACAAAACTACATAGTGACCCAGAGCTTAAGCGATGTTAACTACTATCAGAGGTTGCAGCTGACAAGATCTCTGATGAAAGATCTCCCCGGGGAGCCCATGAGATAGGACACCTCAGCACCCAGCAAGCAGCATGCACAGACCTCATTCGTGATCAGCACACAGACAAGGCTTTGAAGTTTGGAGAACTAAAGAGGCACTCACTGTTTCACAAAGTCCTGTACCAGATAGAGCTTTCCCTTCTCATTTAATGAGCAGCGTGTTAATATCTGCCCCATGGGAAACTAGCCAAGGACACTGGAGATGAGAACTCTTTGAGATCATCTCAAATTCTTGTGAAGATATTTTTCAGCTGTATTTCTCCGAGAACTGATTATGGTGTCATCAGTATAATTAATACACAAATAAATACTCTTGGAAAATCTAGAACCACTGGACTGCGCTTAAAAAAAGGGCCATCCTAAAGACTGTATTTCAAAAGTCCATGAGAAATTCTAAGGAATATTTAAAAAGTTCATTTAAAGGGTTCTAGAACTAATCGTATAATCACTATAATTTGAGACATATTCCTGTTAAATCCCATGTTAACTCATATCTAAAAGAAATTTCTGCTTTATGGACTATATATACAGCAGATTTGCTTGTAAAGTCGTGTTTTTCCATGAAGAAAAAATTATTATTCCTATTGCTTTCTACCAGAAAATTGAAGAAATATTCCCAAGTGGAAAATAACACTCAAATAACTGATTTAAAAAAGGATTCAGTGTCCATACATGAATGGCATGCTTTGCACTTTCACTACACGGTGTCTCGCTACTGGGCATTACTACCACTCCTTGGGAGTTCTCTCTAAGCGTAAGCACTCTCTCCCCTCTAGTATCTCCTCTCCACCACAGTTTATGCTGCAATATTTAGAGAACATATTTACTGCTTCCCTTCTTCCTTTCCGTGGCTAGAGGTGTAATCAACACTGTTTTTTACTAGTAGATAACTTGCTATCTTGATGTGTCCTTCCTTTAAATGTTTTTAAATTGAGGCTTCAGTTAACCCAAGTGAAATAATCCCCTAACATTTTCAGTTCATTTGAAATAACAGCACCAAGGACAGTAAAAAATCAGAAACATTTCTGAAAATCATAAATCAAAATACGGAATATTTTGGGGAAAATATTCTGGAACTCAGAGCATTGAATGCCAGTATTCAAATCTCAAATTTTAACACCACCATCTCAAAGTATTAAACCGATTTAGTTGTTAATGGTGTGAATTTGATTGAAATGGACAAAAGTGGTTCCCACTGATAACTCAAAGCTCTATGCTATGCAATTTCATTCTCTGGAGTAAAGTGAAACAGTGATAATTTAATTTAAAACACAACAAACAAACAGCCTTAAATTATCCAGTGCCTCTTCATCTCAGAAAGTGAGGTCTTACAAAGCCCCGCTGTCTTTTAATAAGAGGAAAACGAGAACTTTGAATAAGGTCTACGTTTACTGTTGTCTAGCAATCACCCCTTAGCTCTTCTGGATGTCAACGTTTGCGTCAAGAAAGGAAGAAACCATTGTCTGCATGATCAGAGCTACCATCAGAAGAAGAGCTAAGAGCCACCAGAGCACATTGTAGGGCATTTCTAAGGCAGCATGCAACAATGTCAACGACGGAGACCACAGCTATCAATACAACGTTCAACATGAAATGAGATCTCATGTTAGCAACACACTGCTTGACAACTACCTTAACAAAAAGAAAAGAAAAAAAAGAACTTTTTTCATGTCTTAGAGAAAACAAAAACAAAAACTAAACCCAACAAAAGAAAATATTTATATATATATGTATCTATATAGTGAAAGCAAATGAGAGAAACAACAGAAAACAGTAAAGAACTTAAGAAGGGTTACAAAGAGTCCAGGTATACCAGCGCCGGGGTAGGAATATTTTCTTTGGGGCTGGTTACCACGTTGGCTTTGTTGTTTATCTGTAGGTATGCAGAAAATAGAAACAGAGAGCCTTAAACCCCTTGGTAGCCAATGTCTCTATACGCAGCATGTCTACATGGAGATATAGACATGAAAATAAAAAGCCACTGAAGATGAACATGGAAGACACTGTGATGACTGAGAGGAATGATGACCAGTTCTCGTCTCCGATGGCCACACATGGGCTAGGACCATGTCTGTGATGATGGAATGATAAAACAGACTTGGCTGCTTTGGCTGTGCCACCTTAGCAAACAGACAAAGAGCTGCTTCAATGGACCTCAAATCATGTTTCAGAGTATGAAATGAATAGAAACATTTTCATACTCTTCAAGTTGGATTTGTTTTCCAGCTTCCAATTGTTCACTGTGAGGAATACATTCCTTTTTTCATTTTATTCTTGAGCCTGAAGTCACACATAGACTGTCTTTCTCTGGGGAACCATCATCACTTTGTTTGGTAAGCATCCAATTAAAAACTCAGATCTTCTGAGGAAATTCAGGCTTTATAATATATTTTTTTTAATGATAACTCTTGGTCTCCTTTAAAAAATACATCTTCAATTATAAATGGACAAATGGAACTCTTTATTATATTCTGAATGTAAAAAGACTTTATTTTTCACCATTGTTGAAGAGGAAAACTACTATGTTTTCCGTCAAAGTGTTACTGCTAGTGTTGAAGACTATATTTGGTAATATCATTCCCCTGCTTTAACATAATTGGGTTTGACCTTAAAGAAGAGATCATTGTTGTCACTATGGAAGCCACATTGTGAAAGCAATTCAGAGGGTCAATAAGTATTGTAATGGGCCCACAGAGAAGACTCTTGGTAGACAAGTGGCAACTTGAAACTACAATTTAGTTTGGGCACTAAAGAATCAAAGACTAAAAAGTAATAATCAACATTCATTTAAATCATGCATGACAACTTACATTATGGTTATCAAACAAATATAAATTAACATTCATTTTCTTGCACTGTATTATCTAGGTATTTTCTTTACATATTATTATCTAAAGGAATACATTCCATAATTTTAGTATAAATGTACTTAAGGATTTAAAGAGAAGAACATACTGAGTAAAATAAACAAATAGCAAATGAGGATTTACAAGCAATTACATCCATTTAATTGTTTGGACTTTATGAGAATTCTTTTCTTTCATATTTTATACCTACAGATCATATTGAAATTAGCACTAAGTGGAAGATAGAAGGTTAGAGAAATTAATTTAGGTATGTAATATTTTGCTTTTCTATTCATTCACATTTGTGTGATTATTTGGTATCAGCATTATTTAAATAAGCTATAACACTGTGCTCTGTGACATGCAGGAAAAAAAAAGAAAAATTTTCGTGTTCTTTACTAGAAAACTCTTTAAATGTTAAGCCATCAATCTATATTTTGCAGATAGTTTTTTACAATTTTTCTTTAAATAAAAGTTCACAGAATTTAACATAAAATTTGTGCAACAGCCAAAAAGGTAAGAGATAATGGAGTCTATTAAACAGGGATCAAAATTTAGTATTTATGTTAGTATAAAATATATGAGACAAGAGGAAGGATACACACACAAATAATTTACTATCAGAAAGAGTGCTTGGCAAAACACACCTGACTTCTTATCAGATTATCAGAGGTGCTAATGATTAAAGCACCACATGTGTTTAATATGCTATAGTCAGTTTATATCAGTGGATGCAAATGAAAGAGAAATATACTGAGAAACTTTTATTTCCATTTTGAGACAAGAACTTGATTTTTTTCTAGGATATAGTTGCCAAGAGGTGCTGCTTTTTCTAGTGAAAATGTCCTGCATGCACACCTATGCACACACACTTATCTGCACAAGCACGCACACACACACAACACACACCCCTACATACGTCCACATATAAGATACACAGCGTACACACACCACCAGGTCTTCCATCTGAAAGCCACTGTGTCCGGATGAGCCATCCTTGATCATCAGGCATGGCAAATGTGAGTTAAATGAGTCTGTGCCTCGACCACATATTTAGTTGTGCACATTTAGTTGTATGTAAATGTGTAGTTAAAAACTTTTTTGTTAATGTAAAGATTAGCTTAATGACTTTTTTTGTTATGGGAAATCTTTTGAAGGTATTTGTAATATTAATTAACTGAAAAATAATAGAATTTCTAAGTAAAAGGCTAGGAAGACTTCCTTTTAAAAACTCAAATATCAAGTATGGGTTCAACTGTAGCCATCTTCTAAACATATAAGAACTCTGGCACTTTTGTTTGTGGAATGTAGTTATTTTATATTATGGAAGCAGAGTATTTTTCTTTAAAAAAAACTGAATCAAACTAGATATTCAAATGCTACACTGACTTATTCTTATGATGCATGGGCAAAATATTCCTATTTCTCAGGTGTTGAGTTTATTTTGTTTTGAGGTTAAGTATTTCCTCTAAGGGGCTTAACTAGGATGGGTTCATTGTAAGATCACTTTCACACTATTTATAAACTCCATGGTAGGTGTATTATGTGGTGCATCTGAACTAAGAACCACTCCTATTTTAGTAATCATGATCATCATTTAAAAATAATTCTATAGTGTTTCTTCACTGGTCAGTAAATAGACACTAGTTATGTCATGGTCTCTTCAGTTTCAAGAGAAAATTGGACTTTGTCCCTGTAAAAGATCCTTTAATATCATATGGATGAAGGTCCAAACTTTTTACATGTTTAAAAAATTCAATTTCAAAGAAAAACCGTATTATGTTAACACGAGTGCTGTGTTTTGATAGTCAATCAACACTGACCTGTAATGGTCCTACACTCTCTCCACTTACACTAATTTAGGTAAATATGATCGTTTTATTCCTAAGTGTGAATTTTCACAGGAGGAGAAATCTGGGAGATAGAAATCCTCACCATCATCTGAACACTCGAACTGGACTTCCTTTTCTGAATTGACCAGTCAGAGAGAGAGGAAAAGAAAAACACATGACCGGTTGAATTTTGAAAGTATCAAAGCATGGATCACAGAATAATTTTGTCTTTAAAGAGGAGCTATAAGTTGACTAGAAGAAAAAATTTCTGGAAATGTTTCTTTCTATATCAAGAGAGTAGTGAAAATAAATCTCTCAATAGGAGCTGTGAGCCCTGCATCACTGAACGGTACAGAAAAACATGGGAGAATAAAACATTTGGAAAATCTAAAATATCACATTTCCACCAACGCAACATTGGGAAGAAGGCAGACATCAACAGTCATTACTGAAACTTAAATTGAATAAACTAAGCAGAAGGAAGACAATGTCACAGGCTGAGGAAGGCAATTGGTCAGCGGCAAATGCCCTCCTAACGGGAATCACAATGGCATGATCACCACAGCGCTGGAAATTCCCAAATCACACACAGACAGGTGGTGAGGAAATGGCTGGGCGTGAACATAAGAAGTGACAAATGATTTTCTATCTCATATTTTCAAAATGAACTGACCACCCGACTTTGGGTCAAGTTCAAATGTTAGAATATTAACTAATTCCCAAGAATGCTGAAGTGTTCATGTGGAATGTAGGCATCTGCCATTAGAAGAGAAAGAAAAGGATTAAAGAAATAAAACATTTAGGTAATACTCTAGAAAGATAACAAACATAATGCAAATATAAGGTTACATTCAATCAAAGGTAAATTCCCATGAAACAAAACAGAATCAGTAGAAAATAAGTTGTATTATTTTCTTTGGAAATCCAAGAAAGTCAAAATATCTTGCTGTTATCTTTCTTAGAAAATTTTTCTAATATTTGTTCATATTATACATCTTGACTATGTCTCTCAAAATAGAAGCACAGGAACAATTAAGACCTTTATAAAAACTGCCCAAACAGAGAAATTTAGTCATTTGACGTTCGATTTCCCAGACCGAATGATTTGATTTTTTTCTCCAGCTATACATTTCAGCAGGCTTCAAAAGAGCATAGCATAACCATTTGGAAAAGCATTTGGTTTTTACAGATTTTCAGGTCACCATGATAGTTTGGGATTATAGTAAAGCAGAGAGGATTAAGACATTCAGTTTTTACAGCAACTCCATATAAAAGTAATATTTTGTTGTGATTATTTAATATATAATAAAATAGAAAAAAATACAGCTTTTGTTGGTATAAATATTAGTCATCTTTGTGTATGAAATTATTTTATTCTTTAACCTTCATCCTTTATCAGGAACTATAAAAAATACAAGCTGCAAAGACTTAGGACTTAATATTTAACATTTTAAAATTATTCAGCATCTGACAGTCAGAAATGATTTTAGGAGCACCTGTTTAACTTACCTTCACTCCATCTGGTTTCTTCAACAAACTCTTGGCTGCTGCAAAACGAGAGTAAAATCACTTTAGTGAGTTATCCATAGAAACCCACAGCCAGGCAACAAAACAAGGGTGCTGTGTCCTTCTACCACCTTTACTGAGTCATGGCCAACATACGCCAAGTTATCAAGGTCACACTGATGAGCGCGAGCTTACAGGACATTGAAATACAGTATCACTTTTCTTGGTTTTGCCACATCAAATTTAGAACTAAATTCTTATTTAGTTCATTGCATATAATTGAACACTTTGCCAGTTATGTTATTGGACTTTATCTCACTGTTGGTTGCGAAAAGGATACTGGAACTTTAACTGGACTATGTTTTTGTAATCCAGAAAGTTGATTTCAGTCTTCAGACATCAGCTTACAGATTGTATTACATGTTCATTCACACCACAAGTAGGGTGACCATGTCAGTTCTGCCACGTAAGCCCTCTTTCTAGAGGTTTAAAACTCATTTGTGAAAATTTGCTCTGGCTAAATAACATCTTCTTAAAAATATATATTTGAAATCAGATTTCATTTTTGCAAAAAATATTACTGTATTGAAAATGAAATGGTATATTATTGGCCTAGAGCAAATTTTTTAAACTCTTAGCATATGACTTTTTACAAAAAGGCATTTTGTATTTTTTTAGTCTTTAAAATCACAATATAGAGGCTTCATAAATAAGAGCCTTTCATATTGAAAAATCAAAAATCATAAAATTTGAGGTGAGATATAAAACAAAATGAAATCTTCAACTAAATCAGAGAACTCCTGAAGTATATGGTCTTATATGAAGCTTCATCTTCTTGGAGGGGGCCCTTGAGCATTCCTTCTGTTACTGGACTTTGTGAGTTGATTAAAAGGTGAAATCGTCCTTTCAAAAATATACTTATGAATGGGCACATACACAGTGAACAGATTATACAACTGTCAGTGACAATTGGTACACCAAGTGTGGAACATTCACTAATACGCAGGACAAAGTACACACACATGCTTCCCTTTAATGTTAATTGTGTATATAATTATTTAAGCATATCAGAACAGAATTTGGCATCTGAAATGGAAATATCTGGCTATAATAGAACTGCATGAACATGTAATTTCCTGACATCCATTTGACTTGGGTCATTATTTTGGTATCACTTTGGTATAATTTTAAATTTATTTAAAATATACAAAAATGTTAATTTTATTTAGTCTTTAGCAACAAAGCTATTAATTTAGTATTAATTGAAATTGTAAGAAATAGTTGCCTTAGCTATAATACTGTTTGCCTGGAGCTAAAAAGCAATATTAAGTAAATCCTGTGGCAGTTAATAGGTTAGAAAGCAAACAGAATAATTGGAATTGCAGTAGCAAGCAAAGAGAAGACAATGATTCGGGGTAAGCAGGGATTTGGCCTGGGAGATGCAGAAATGTCCCTTTTGGTTACTATTCACCTTACCTCACAAGAAATACATTCCACATAAAGGGAGAAAAGAAAAAATAAAAACAACTTTATAACCATATACTTATGGACAAATTACTTTAAAGAACATGTTTGGCAACAAAACAGAATGAATAAAATACTCAAAACTAAAATGCAATATCAAGTACAAGATGTTGTAACTGAGTCAAATGTTATTCAGTTGGTTTTAAAATGATGGATTAAAAAAAAAGTTTGCTTTTCATGCTAAGACATTCAGAAACAATATAAAATCCACATATTAGTCATGAGTTTTTAGTTTACACGATGACGAAAAGGAAAATGAGGTAAACAAAAAGCTTCTATATATGGGTGCATTTATTAACAAAGGCCCAATTTATGCCTAAGAGTGTATTTAACACTTTAACAAAATACATAATCTTAATTCTGGAGATTTTCTTTTCAAAGTTAGTCATTAACAATATCTACTATATAAATCATCCTACCTTTTAGTGCTTCACTATTGGGCCACAGTGAAATATTTATTTGAATATAGTATATATTAGTTAATATTTAATGAGATGACATTGAACTCACCCATATAAATGTCAACTATATTGATCAACTGTTCATAAAACAGGTAACTTGACAAAGGCAGTAACAAAGTTTTATTACACTAACCAAATTGGACAAAATACATACAATTGACTAACACGGTCTCTCAATTTGAAGCATTACTCATTGTATTATTATTTGTTGTTGAACAGCCCAGTGGAAGCCTTTGGAAAGCTTCCTATGGCTTCACATTATCTATGACTAAAGACAACAGCGGACAAAAGGTGACCATTTAATACAATCGTAAACAAGAACATTTGATAATGAAATGGATCATCATCTCAAATCACTATAATACTCAGGCTAAGTATGTAGTAGGAATAAAGAACTGAAGAAATAGCTGGATAACTTGACGCCCCAGATCATTCTCACGGAAATGGTAAGCAAGATAAAATGGTAATATTTCTGGCAAATCTTTTCACAATTGTTCCAAGTCTAAATAGCCAAACAGTAAGTTTACTAAGTGCAGCTTTCTCGCTGCTTCAGCCCCTCCCCGTATATAAGACTGATTAACATTTACCAACATTTTATTTTTGGAAACCTGGTCCTTTGAGATAATCTATCAAAGAAGGGGGCTCCAAAACTCAATTTCTGGAAATAATATATACTTTACGTCAATTTTGGAGAGTCATTCCTTTAATAAAGAAATGGTTTACCTTCTTTTAGTCCATTATTTAACAAACTTATTTTCACCATGGAATCATTTCGAGGAATGTTTATTATCCTATGACATAACCGTGGGTAGACTCTCTGTCAATTCTTGAGTTGAGATACCTTTGAAAGCTGTAATCATTCTTACAGCATGCCAAGATACTACTGTACTGTCAAAAAAGAACTTAGGCCTAAGAGAACTGCATTCCTCAATAAGAGTCTTCTTTCAAAAATCTTGCTTATTGGGATTCTCTATGAGAATGAGACAAAAAAAAACCTTATTCATAGTTATTACTTTATGAAATAAATAATTCTAGGTTCGAAGTGCTGAGCTTCAGGATGAGGGAGCACATATTTCCACAACCTGTGCGTACCCAGCAGGGACGACAGATGGTGTCAAGTCCTGTGCCCTCACTGCCCGGTGGCGTGGCTGCCTGGGCAGCTCCCGAGAGGGCATCGGACCCTAACATCTCCTCGGAGACGGCGCCGGGGGGGCGGATTCCTAACGGCAGCATAAGTGAGGAAGGAATTCATGCACACATTTGCCATTCCTGAACAACAGTGTTTTTCTCATTATTAGATTTTTTTTTTTTTTAATTCCAAAAAGACTACGAAAGAAGAGAGCACAGGATAGGATAGCAGAGTTCTTAACACATGTACCTGAAAAATTCCTTGTTGCCAGCATAGTTGTCAAGATGGCACCCTGTCAGAGAAATAAGAATACAAAATTAACGTTGCCTCTGCAAATCTTAGACCTAACAAATATGCAGTCCTTGATAACAGATCTTCTCCTAGCCCTACTTCCAGTCAGGGGATTTTGTTTGTTTTTGTGTTTTGGTTTCCTGAGAGTAGCAGGCCTCTGTCTCTCATACAGCCGGGACGGGACGGCCATCGTGGCAGCTGGATTCCGATTATCAAATTGCACAGCAGTTTTCCACTGAAGGGAGGGACCACAACACACATGGCCACACTCATCCTAGCTCTTCACTGTGCGTTTAATTCCAGTGTACATTCCACTTTCTCAAGACCCAGAAGAGGAATAAGAGTATTGAGGTCTACACATTTAAAAGCCTTTGCTAAAAGTTATTTTCCTCAGACAGAATCTTCGCTTCCCACTCTGCCAAATCCACTTTCCCACAAATATGTAAAATGCCTTACCTTTAGTTTTCTTCTAGCATTAAATTTCTTTAAGCAGTCTACAGTCTCCTGTCTGTGCATCATGGAAGCAACAGTAGAACGTTGCTGGAAGAGGAGAAAAAGAAACTTAATTGAGCGTATTTAAAACATTCTAAGCATAATAGTAGCCTCAGGTTCATCACATCTTTCCCGCGCCCATACGATGAACCTGTAAGTATTCAACTGCAAAAGTTCTGTAATAACAAAAGGTTGACTTTGCCAAGACTATTTGTGACTAAGATGCAACATTTATCTATAGTACGTATAGAAACAAGAATCAGTAATTTCCCAAATTATCTTTATTTCAATATGTTGTTAATCATATTTCTATTGGACTGCCTTTTGTTTACCTAGCATCATATTTTACTGCCCTAACATTTGACACTCATCTCTAGAAATTTACTGAAATCTGTACATTCCTCGCACATTTCATACTATTTTCCTTAGTACTTCTAAAGCACATTCAGTCTACTGTGGCTATTCTGTCAGGCTAGTAAAACTCTACTCCCAACTTCCAAACCTCACATTTTTTTCTAAAGCTGCGTAATGATAAGTAACAGAACTTTGTCTAATCTTTTCTTCTGGGATATATTTAATCTTAGTGTCATTTTCTTAACCACTGTTCATGGGTATTAACAATAATTGGTGGGGAAAATACTCATTCCTTGTGTTATTGTAGGCAATATTTACTTAGCAATCTCTGTAAATCAGATTTTGCTACCTGAAATAGCATTTTTCACCACTACAAAATTTATTTTGTTAAATACCCTGAGTCAAAAATTCATTCATTCTAAGTTTCATCTTTTTTCTGCAAGAATTATTTTAAATCCATGAAAAAAATTTAAAGCAGAGTTTATGTTCCATTTTAGCTCCTCAGGTCTTTGGAGGACTGTCACTTACACAAATCCATGGATGTTTCAGTGCCTCCGAGGCTGTGATACGCTTGGCGGGGTTGATAGTAAGCATTTTATTGATGAGGTCTTTAGCTTCAGGAGTCACTGTGTCCCACTCTGGTGATGGAAACTTCAAAAATATAAATTTATAGAGTTTAAAAAATAGATACACTCAGTTGACCAGGGAAGAGCCAAATACACTAATCATTTCCTTAAGCAGTGAATTTCTTCATAAATTTACTTTTTGTATAATTTCTATCTTGTATCTGCATAAAGATAAATTGATGTAGACATATATATATCCCTCCATGTATATATATCTACATGTATTAAAGAAGAATAACTGATAAGGGACAAACCTATATACTAACTTGCATATTATATCTAGTAAATACATTTTAAAATTTAGAAAAATAATCTTCTAGTCTTCTCTAAGTATCTTTGCTTTGATCTGAAAATGAAATTTTATGCAATCTTTCCGATACTTATTTGCAAAAATCAATAAAAGCTTAGAAGTTGTCACATGTATCAATGTTATGATGCTATTATGCCAAGGTTGAAAATGAGGTATTACATACTGTGATCTCACAACTCATGAGCAGTAATAGCAGAGATAACAAAACAGTTTCAATTCCTGTGCCAAAACTGACCATTGGTCGTGGCTATTTGGAGCACAGTAGTCAGAAAAAATCTGAGACTACGAGAGCCTCAGCAGGATTTCATTTTCACACTTCAAAAAGGCTAATCCACTTACTTACAAATTTCACTAAAGCAAAGTTCATAAAAGTAACCAAATCTCATAACTTCTATTAGTAATCCATTTGTACATTAATAACTATATAATAAAGCTATTTATCCTAAGTTTCTTTATGTGAATTTTTTGTTGATAATTATGCAACCTCACTTTCACATAATTAACGTATTTAGTAGAAATAATATTCTTGATGGGTTAAGAAAAACTTACATCACATTAGTTTCTAAACAACAGAGAGAATATTAGGTTCTTTTCCCAATTTTTATAGATAGTCCTGGAAAAAAAGCCATGGTCACTGTGTCACAGACTTTAGTTTACTTTTAGTGGTTAAAAATGGGCAGTTTGTGAGTCCCTGGCTAAATTACACATGAGAAAAATGATACTGAATCTTTAATACATGCAAATTTTGCCAGTTTAACAATTGTCATTTTAATTCTAGAAGCTTATTGTAGGCAGTTGTAAAAACTTGCTAGTGACTAGGAACTACTGAAGAAACACTCAAGGCTGCTGCTTAATGATGTGCAGATCTTTTCACAGCAAATGAGAAGCTCGTTTAGCCTAGATAAAGGTGGATCTTTTTCTTATTTTTCTAATTTTCACAAAGGCTTTCCTCCACATTCAACACGAGGTACATCCACGGGGCTGTATGCCCAGAGGGGGGCCTAGTCTGTAAAGATGGGGAATGTGCTAGCTGTGGCCAGCTAAATAATAATTTGGTCCAATTATTAGTGTGGGTTACAATGAAATGCCTTGAAATTAAAAGAATATACATTTTATAGTCTCGTGATACACACAGCCGTCTAAATAGAATATTTTAACAGAGATGCACTGAGGAATGAGACCTGAGAGAATATAATACAGACTTTTTATATTAACTCCTCTCACTTTTCATTGAGCTTTTAACTTGTGCACAGAGAGTGGCCACAGCACTGCTTATTACTTAGTTACCCCACTTAGTAATATATGGAAAGCATCTCCAGACCCTGCACTCTGACTTCCAGAGGGCTTGTGCACTCTGACAAACCGAGGAGGTGGTAAATCATATTTACAGACATATTTATCAAAGGAGAGAAAATTATATCAATGAGCACAAAATTAAGCCATGAAGAGAAGATAGATAAGGCCTTACTCTTCAGATTTAGAACTTAATTCATGTATGTGTGTATACGTATATGCCTACTTTCAAATATTCTAACTATAAATGAAATGTATTAGAACTGTGATTTTCAAATATTTTTCACTTGTGAAACCCATTCTTCAAATGAAAGCTTGCACAGAAGCTCATTAGGTAAATAAGACAAAAAAAGTCAAAACTGACATAATGGAACAACGTTTTATTTGATATACGGATCACTGCAAAGTACTGTTGTACATAATTTAAAATTATGGAAGGAGTGTGGAAGATGGTGGCGTAGGAGGATCCTGAACTTGCCTCCTCATCCCATGGACACAACAAAACTACAACTACCCGTGGAATAATTTCCTCTGAGAGAGATCTGGAAACTGGATAAAAAAGAACCTCCACAACAAGGAACAACACAGAGAGGGGTGGAAGAGGCAGAGAAACAGCCCTGCTGAGGAAAAACCCACATGCTCGCTGCAGCGCTTCACAGCGGGGGCGATCTCAAAGGTACGGAGCTTTTCCTGGAGAAGCCCGAGTTCTGAGCTCCACACTGGGCACCCCAGCCCTTAGACCCAACAAAAGAGAGATGAGATCCCATAGTACCTCGCTTTCCTGGCTTTGAAAAGCAATGGAGAATATGCCCAGGAAAACTACAGAACTTCAGGGAAAGAAAAACCTGCTCCTAAAGCGCCCACACATTCTCACTTGACCCGAAAACGAGCACAAAGACACCAGATAGAAAAGTGCATAGTCCACTGGTAAAAGAGCCTCACTTACTATTCTTGGAAGGCATCCCAGAGAGGCAAGAGATGGCTGGGCCCACCCTGCAGGGACTGAGACACTGGAGGCAGCCATGACTGTGACCTAGTTTGGTTGTGCTGATACAGAGGCTGGGAGGTGACAGTGGAATCCTCCTTCCAGCCTGTAGGCACAGGGGTCTGCCCCATTCACTGGAGAACCCAAGGAAATCAAGCAGAGCCAGGCAGCAGGCAGCCCACCTCAGGGACCGACTCTGCCCACCAGCAAGCCTGGGGCAGCCGTGTGGACCTGCAGCCTGGGGGCCCACAGCAGACTTGTGCCGCCGGCCATCGCAAACGGCCACACAGGGGATCTGCCCTGCTTTCCAACACCCGAAACAGTTGTGTGCTGCTGTACCTGGGCCTGCCCCGCCCATTAGCCAGTGCTTGCCAGAGGCCTGCCCTGCCAAAAAGCCAGCTGACAACAGCTGCAGGAGCCTCACCTGAAGCCTGCCCCATCCCACCACCCCCACCAAAACAGAGACAGCTGAGCACTGCAGGGAGCTACACTAGGGGCCTGCAGCACTTGTGTGCCCCAGGGCCTAGCAACCAGCCACACTGGGGGCCTGACTCTCTTACCAGCAAAATTGCAGTAGTTATGTGCTACCAAACTTGCAGGCTGTGCCAGGGGCTTGCCCCACCCAATAAAGTGCCCATAGCAGCCTCGCGCAGCAGAGCATCACAATCAGCCAGCCCAAGGACCAACCTACTTGTGTACCTACAGCATTAGCGACCCTGCCACAACAGATGGGTACACTCAGTCCACACAGGGGACACCCCTGGAGCATCTGGTACAGATGACCAGAGGGGAGCAAGCTGCTGGGCCCCATAAGGCATCTCTCCATAGCCGACCTCTCTAATACATAGAAATAAACACAGAGAAGGAGGCAAAAGGAGGAGACAGAGGAATATGTTCCATATAAGAGAATGGGACAAATCCTCAGAAAAAGAACTATTTTTAACAAAACAGAGATAAACAATCTACCTGATAAGGAGTACAAATTAATAGTCATAAGAAGGCTCACTGATCTGGGGAGAAGAATAGATGAACATGGTGAAAGCTTCAACAAAGAATTAGAAGATATAAAAACGAACCAATCAGAGCTAAAGAATACAATAATGGAAATGAGTAAATCAACAGCAGAGTAGATGACACAGAAGAATGAACTAGTGAACTAGACAAAAGAGTAGAGGAAATCACCCAAGCCGAACAGAAAAAAGAATTAAAAAGAACAAGAACAGTCTAAGGGACTTCTGCGACAACATCAAGCATACTAACATCCACATTATAGTTGTCCCAGAAGGTGAAGAGAGAGACAAAAGGGAAGAAAACTTATTCAAAGAAATAATAGCTGAAAACTTCCCTAACCTGGGGAAGGAAACAGACATCCAAGTACAGGAAGCACAGAGAGCACCAAACAAGATGAACCCAAAGAGGCCCACACCAAGAGACATTTTAATTAAAATGTCAAGAATTAAAGTTAAAGAGAGAATCCTAAAAGCTGCAAGAGAAAAGCAACAAATTACATACAAAGAAAATCCCACAAGGTTATCAGCTGACTTCTCAGCAGAAACCTTACAGGCTAGAAGGGAGTGGCATGATATACTCAAAGTGCTGAAAGGAAAAAACCTACAACCAAGAAACAAACCTACAACCAAGAATACCCAGCAAAGTTACCATTCAGAATGGAAGGAGAGAAAAGAGCTTTCCAAACAGCAAAAACTAAAGGAGTTCGTCACCACTAAACCAGCACTGTAAGCAATGTTAAAGGGACTTTTTAAGTAGAAAAGAAAAGACCACAAGTAGGAATAAGAAAATTATTAAAGGAAAAATATCACTGGTAAAGGCAAATATACAGGTAAGGTAGGGGATCAACCACCTACAAAGCTAGTATGAAGGTCAAAAGACAAAAGTACTAAAATCATTATATCTATGATAAGAGGTTAAGGGCCATACAAAAAAAAAATAGGTAAAATATGACAGCAAAAACATAAAACGGGGTGGGGGGGGAGTAAAAGTGTAGGGCTTTTAGTAAGAGGTCAAACTTAACAGACCATGAACTTAATACAGATTGTTATTTACATATGAACCTCATGGTAACCACAAACCAAAAACCTACTATAAATAAACAACCAATAAAGAGAAAGGAACCCAAACATAACACTAAAGATAGCCATCAAACCACAAGGCAAGAGAGCAACAGAAGAAGAAAGGAACAGAGAAGAACTACAAAAACATCCAGAAAAAAAGTAACAAAATGGCAATCAGTACATACTTATTAATAGTTACTTTAAATGTAAATAGACTAAATGCTCCAATCAAAAGGCAAAGAGTGGCTGAACAGATAAAAAAACAAGACCTATATATATGCTGAATACAAGAGACACACTTCAGACCTAAAGACACTCACAAACTGAAAGTGAAGGAATGGAAAAAGATATTCCATGCAAATGGA